CAAAGACATTGTCAGCTCATTGATTAAATGGAATTATATTATATTATCAAGATAAGTGATTTTTTAAATCAAGTCTGATATGGTGAGCAGTAACTAAATCGATTGAAGTGTGAGTGACATATAACATGCAATTAATCATATCTGTTGTTTATAGACACTTATTTATGTGGAACTATGTGTTCACACTATAGGTCATGGACTTATTGATGATAGACACTATTCAGTTGAGTTCATAGAACTCTGACTGTTAATCTGACTAAATAAATCAAAGAAAAAGTAATGGATTCATGAATCATTTTAATTTATTTCTAGGATTCAAATAAATCTTTATCACCTGTCTTTGTTTTCTTACTATGGGTTGTCAGATTACGTGGTTCGCAACACCAAGCGCTAATCAGTTAATCATCCCATAGGCATAACAATGACAGATAAAATAAAAAAAGAGAAGACAATTTACAGCCACAAGCGACAGTAATATAACTAAACTAGATTTAATAAGGTAGTGAAATTTTAAGGTAAAAAACTACTACTACTACATAGTGATTACATAACAAACACATTAACCTGGTATTTAAATAATCGATTAACACTTTAAATATTAATAACTGGCATAATTAACTCTTAATCATTTTGACAGTATATACATATCACCAATAAAATGAATAGAATGTTAAAGGGGAATACAAAAGTCAAATTATTAATAGTGTGAAAATAACTCAAATATCTCAAATACAATATTCAACACATTTTTAACGGCAAAAAACTAATGTAACAACAGTTTTATTTTTTGACTTCATTTTCCATTTTAACCCATTTCATTGAATAGCTCCTGTTGAGCTACAGTCGCTTGACTTATTGATATATACTTGGCTCCAGACAATGTGACTATATTCAAGTGATAACACTGTGAAATCAAGTTTATTTAATATAAACAAGACTATACGTTAAACTACTTGATAATCAGATATGAGTAACACATCATCATTTTCATGTCTGCCTCCAGTTCCCGACGCAGTGTGTTCTTCGGCTTTCTTCTTTTCCGTTTCCTTTCAGGATTCCAAGTTAGTGCTTATCTAGTGATGTAGTTTGATGATTTCCTCAATTTACGTCCTATCCACCTCCAACGTCTTTTCCTAATTTCCTTTTCAGCTGGAAGTTGGTTTGTTTTCTCCCACAGTAAGATGTTATTTATGGTATACGGCCAAAGGACATTCAGTATCTTACGTAGACAACTGTTTATAAATACTTGTACATTTTTGATGATGGTTGTGGTATTCCTATGATATCTTCATATCCGGTGTTACCCGTTCCGACTTTGGCGTTCAGGTCTCCAATCAGGATGGTCAGATCTTTTACTGGGCGCTTCGCTATGATCGATTGTAGCCTCTCATAGAACTGTTCTTTGTCGTCATCGTTGCTATCATTGATTGATGCACAACATTGGATACTTACTTACTTACTTACGCCTGTTACTCCCAATGGAGCATAGGCCGCTGACCAGCATTCTTCATCTCACTTTGTCCTCGGCCTTCTTTTCGAGTTTCATCCAATTGTTCACCATTCTTCTCATGTCTGTCTCCATTTCTCAGCGTAATGTTTCTTCGGTCTTTCTCTCCTCATTTGGCATTCAAGATTCCAAGTGAGGGCTTGTCTTGTGACGCAGTTCGGTGCTTTCCTCAATGTGTGTCCTATCCACTTCCAGCGCTTCTTCCTGATTTCTTCCTCCACTGGGATCTGGTTTGTTCTCTCCCACAGTGGGTTGTTGCTAATAGTGTCTGGCCAACGGATCTGAAGTATTTTGCGTAGACAATTGTTAATAAACACCTGTATCTTCTGTATGATGACGTTCGTAGTGCTCCAGGTTTCTGCCCCATAATGCAGAACTGTCTTGACATTTGTATTGAAAATCCTGACCTTGGTGTTGGTTGACAGTTGCTTTGAGCTCCAGATGTTCTTCAGTTGTAAATATGCTGTTCTTGCTTTGCCGATCCGCACCTTCACATCTGCATCAGATCCACCCTGTTCATCAATGATGCTGCCCAAATATGTAAACGTTTCTACATATGCCAAATATTTTCCGTCAATTTTGATTGGATTGGTGCATTCTGTGTTGTATCGGAGAATCTTGCTTTTCACTTTGTGTATATTGAGACCTATTGCTGCTGAGGCTGCTGCCACACTGTTCGTCTTCTCCTGCATCTGTTGTTGCGTTTGGGATAGAAGGGCCAGATCGTCTGCGAAGTCTAGATCATCCAACTGCATCTTAGATGTCCATTGTATCTCGCGCTTCCCTCCAGACGTTGACGTCTTCATGATCCAGTCGATCACCAGGAGAAAGAGAAAGGGTGAGAGTAAGCAACCTTGCCTAACACCGGTCTTCACTTCGAACGACTTTGTCAACTGTCCTCCATGCACAATTTTGCAGTGTAATCCGTCATATGAGTTCTGTATGATATTAACTATCTTCTGAGGCACGCCGTAGTGTCGAAGAAGTTTCCAGTCTTGTTCTGTCCACGCTGTCAAATGCCTTTTCGTAGTCAATACAATATTGGATAGCATTCATCGAAATTCCCTTCCTTGAGATTCCCACCCTATAAGTGCACTATGTACTTCTTTGGACAGCATCAGTGTAACTCCATGAATGTGTGGAACATTTTACTTTTCGTGACCGGAGTACGGCAGCATTTCTCCTGTATCTAGCCTTTACTGTCCATTTTATCCAATCAACATATAGTGGAGGCTTTCTAGAGGCATTAAGAAAAACGGTGGATTATTTGTCATATTTTAATCAGACAATTAATTTTCTCCCTGAATTTATAGTATTACTAGAAGCCCTCAGATGCTCAAGGTCACTCGCGTATTCCCTTCCGCAGATTGCAATGGCAACAAATAATGAGTAGAATATTTTGTGGTTAATTATATTAAGGGAAATGGAAAGCTTAGTATTTCTTCATTGTTCTGTACTGAATAGAGATGGAGGTTGTAATCTAACGAGATGTGAAGTTTCCCTTACTAAAAAACCTGTGTAACTAGATCCACAAGAGCAAGTGGACATGTCTACACTTATCGAATCCGTCGACTAAAATAACCCATCCCTCACACAGAAGTGTATTTGCGAGCTCCCACTGTGCAGCACTTTCAATGAGGCTGCAAAGAATATTTATTTTAAAGGGAACAGTTGAGAGATTCTCAAGAATTTCATCCACATTATCACACTTGAGTGCTAAATCAATGTATGAGTTTGTGTTTCGTATTGAATGGTGGTCTCTTGTTAACGGTCTCATACCTAATCCATCCAAATGTCAAGCTATTAACTTTAGCATGAGACATGAACAGCACCTAAATACCACGTTGGGATCCCATAATGCTTATGCCATTGGAGACTGTGATAAACACAGCATCGAAGGTCAATCATCTTGGTGTTACCTTTTCCTCTGATCTCTTGGTCTTCTCCTGTCTTACTGATATCGAAGAAAGTTTCCCGTTTGACTTACTACATAAAGAGGCTGTATGCTTTTGGGATTACTCGACATTTGCTCTTACAATTTGTTAATTCCTGCATATTACCTGTTATTCTTTACTGTTCTACATTATTCTCTCCTGGGTTTTTGGTAAAAGACTGTTGTATTGCGGAGAGTACTGAGGGCAGTTAGCAAGGTATGTGGTGTATCTTTTGATCATTATTAATATGGTTATAGATAGGCATCTCAAGCCATGTAAACTCCTGGCAGGTATTATCTTATCAGATACTAATGATCATCTTCATTCATATCTTTCTCCTTATATATTTTCTGACAGAACGAGACGTTAATACATTAAAATCCATGCACGCAAGCAAAGGTATAAAAGTCCTATAATACCTTACCTAGCAAATATACTGTGTGACGAACAGGTCGTTAGAGCTGACCTAGTCAATAACCTGTATTTTTAAACATATCTCTAATCGAAAACTTGTACAGATTCAGACCTTTTTCTTTTTTTGGTTTTTGTAAAAGGAACTTCCTGAAACACCTCGTGCTGAGAATTCTTTATTGTACCAAAATATAATATTGAATAGAGCCACAATTAATGAAAATCGTTTGAGAACTATTTCCTGTCCAATAGTATGTCGTGATCCTATAGATATAAAAATTCAAACTACCCAGTTATTTTAACCACAACTGAAGACATTGATGTGAGGTGGTTGCAAATAGCCAACAGGAAACCCTGCAGTATTAATGTTTCGTGCTAGCTGGTACTCGTCGGCAAGAGTTATGTGTAACATTAGGAGAGTGATGCTCTCTATGGAATTAGAACTGACATCAGCCATCTTCACAGTCTGTTACATTACCATTAATTTATCACGGCTCAAAATGACCTCACTCGAAGGATCAGAAATTTACTTTAAATGATCAGTAAGTAACCAATGATATATTTGTACAATCCTCGATCGATAAAAATCCACTCAGTACTGAAAAGAATTACCTCTAATATCACCACTGTTTATTTATTCAAACACATAAACATTGGTGCAAGGAGGTACGAAACAGATATGCGCCACATTTGTCATCCGATATGTGTAAGAACTGGAACACTGCCCATACGACCAAAATGAAGTAGGTGGTTTTTTGGAGGGCCACTCCCAGAGCTTTTGACCTAAAGGTCTAATCCACAAAGGAGATGCAGTACCATGGTAGCCGGTAACCAACAATAGGTTCACACGTCATTCGTTCCCTCAGGATCCTGGGGCCCATATGCATTATTGGTTTGGAATTAGGGTTTTCCTACTCCATTAGGTGGATTCTCCGTACCCACCAATCCGGTTGGAGTGCCGAACATTCGCTTTTCGTCTTCTTGAGTTCGTTAAACAAAACCCTCGTCATGAGGACTTCCCTGACAGTGGTTGTATACGCGTGGTCATGTGAGGGCATTTCGAGAGGAAGAGCGGACTCGCCTCAATTTCAGCCGTACTAGGGCATTTGGGGCTGTATCACAACACCTCACACCAAAACGATAATCAGTTGATCAGTTAAGTAGATTTATGCATCACATTAAGTAAAATTATATCCGAACGATGATAATGAAAAGGGTTTATACACAAATCATTATACTTTTTTTAAAATAAAAAAAACAATCAAAATCACGCAAACTGAGTACAATTTGTAATTACATAGTTATATAACACGGGGAAAAAAAGAGAAATGATCCTGAGCAATAAACTTAGAAAAGGACAATACATGAATAAACCCATTAACTCATGCTATAATCATGAATCAGTAATTATTTCATAATCTCTTTAAAACAAAGTTAAGGAAACCCCGTTTTGAAATATAAATGATCAATTCAGAAAAAGAAAGACAATTACCAACAGTTGTTACAAGGGATCGAATTTCGTAAGAATAACTTTGACAGGATACAATGTGCAGCACAAAAACAATGTCGATTGAAAAATACACACAGAATTTATGAATGTGTGGAATGTGTTTATGTGCATTTATCAACAAACTCTACATGCACCCACACTCATACACACACCTACATACATACAAACAAATCAACTGTGATGATAACAAAATCTTTCTTTCATTAACAAATAAGTTCATTACATCCTGATAAACAAAAAAAGGAGATTAAATAAACATCAAAAAAGGAAGACACAGAATACGACTTACTCATAAATTTCAAAATAATGATGATAGATAACAACAATAACAGTAACACAAAAGAGAGGTAACGATTAAACACAATGAAAAAAAAAACTAGGCTTATTTCCATGCTGAAATAAGTTTACCTGATGTTGTTTTTCATAAAGTTAGTTAGGTAGATTGGTTTAGAGTAAAAATTTACAAAACATATAAGCAAAAATAAACAATATTAACATGGGTAAAATCCATTGTGAAAATTTTAGTACACGTTGCTCTAATTTTAATAAACGTCTTAATTCATTATATTCATTTACATGAGGAAATGGACAATTCGGTATTGGTAAATTAAGAAATTTACATAATGGTTCCCAACCTTGACTTATGTCAAATTTTAATAAACGTTCAGATGGTACAGTTTTTATGACATTTTGATTCCAATTAACAAAACCATTCAACATAGCTGTATCATCGGTAAAATCCATATTCTCACCAAATACACGTCTACAATTCATAAGAAATAATTCATGAAATTGTTGTAAACCGATACATTTTCTTAAAAGTTGAAATGACCATGAACGTGGTTGATCTATATCTTTAGGTAATATAGTGGAACGACAACCAGCTAACCATATTTCAGGATCACGGACAGTTAAAATAACCTATTTATGAAATGATAAAATAAATGATTAGTATTTATTCGCAAAACGATGATTTTAAAAATATGTATTTGTGTAAAGCTTACTCTCGTTAGCATTTTTTGGCAAGATTGTTTTATACTGCACAGAGTTTCTAACCCTATGTCCAACTCTCCTGCTTTATCCGGGCTTGGGACCAGCAGTAACCCCATGAAGAGTACCAAGACAGAATCACTGATAAACAAGGAGGATCTAATGCAGATGTGAAAGCACAGATTGATAAAGCAACATTCCTACAGCTAAAGAACATCTATAACTTGAAACAACTGTCAGCCAACATCAAAGTCAAATTTTTCAATACAAACTGCAAGACAATTCCACTGTAAGGAGATGAAACTTCAATAACTACTACAACAATCAACAATAAATCACAAATATTTCTAAAAAATTTTCTACGCAAGATACTCCAGATCCGTTGACCAGATACTACCAGCAACAACCTACTGTGACAGAGAGCAAACCAAATTGCAGATGAAGAAAAAATTAAGAAAAGACACCGGAGATAGATAAGACATGCATTGTGTAAATCATCAAATTGCATCACGAGGTAAGTCCTAACCTGAAATCTTCAGTGAAAGAAGAAAAGAGGAAGACCAAGGAACATATTCCACAGGGAATTGGAGGGCAGAAAAGAAAGAAATGGATGGAACTTAGCAACAGCTGGAAAAGAGAACCCAGGACAGAATAGGTTAGCGAATCCTGGTCAGTGGCCTATGCTTCTCTACGCGAGGAGTAACAGACGTAAGTAAAAAACTAAGTAAGTGTATAGCTTAGATCGTAGACTCTATGTTAAACAATGATAGTTAATGAAGTATAGCAGATTCATTCACGTTTTCTGTAACACAACTTAGTCTCGCTAGTCTTGTGCAAAGGTGGCTTCGTGGTTAGAGTCTTAGCCACTAATTTCCAAGTTTGAATCCCGCCCCAATCGAGTAATGTATCATTAGCTCTTATATTTAGAATGAGGCTTATAGTCGAATACACGAATTTATAAATAATAACAATATTTGGAGTTTTATTATATGCTAGTGAAGATTAAATTATGGGTAACTTCCGGAAACTGTTATATATATATATTCCTTTTATAATAAGCTTCTATTTCACATATTGACTGCTATTATACGATTTACTATTCTTAAGTTATTCCCAATTTACTAATTACAGTTTCACACAGTCACAACCACTTTTGGCTTGATCTAGTATAATTGTTATTTTCTGTTTTATGGTATTTTGAGGTCTGGTTTGCTTGTTTGTAAACCCAGTATGTCTGAAATATATGATTTACACGGTAGAAGCTGTGTTCTGGACGTAACAGGAAGGCTTGACGAAGAACCAATCAGGACTCAGAGTTAACTCTAAGCTGCTTGTAGTGTTAAGGCCATACAAGTCAGTGTTTTAATTGGTAGGATTAACCACATGATTTAATTAACAGGGCCAAAAAGAACACAACAGTTGAGCCTCAAAATATATGGTTTATCCATGGCATTCTATTTATCATATCATGATTTGCCTCAATACATTTACTTAATATTCTAGTCATATTATTTATTTCAAAAAAATACGAACTGACACATGAATGTTATCCACTGATCTACTGAATACATATACATATAAGACAATGCCCACAAGTAACACATGTACCAACAAAAAATTGATCAAAATTCAGTTCCGACTATCAACAACGAGATAATTCAAACTCTTACTAATAATGATACTTACAATAAGTTTAATGTTAGAAGCTGCTTTAACATTTAGATAATTGAATTTTGAAACTTTGGAGATTTGTGATGCAAGTGCATCCTTATATAGTAGTGATAGGTTTATTGAGCTGAGTGGTTTCAGTGTCATTTGGAACAAGATCGTCAGTGCTTACTTCAACTAGTGTTCACTAAGTCCAAAATTTACCGAATACAACATTGGGCAACTTTATTGAAATTAAGAGGACTATACACTTCGGCTTTGAGATTCCATAGTAAAAATATTATTATTCTGTTGTTATTCAACTAATCAGTGGAATATCGGTTATCAGCAACGTAGAACATGAAGCATGAGTGCATTATTCATTCCACTCCTATTCATTCTCATCAACAAACCTCAAGATGAAAACCAAAGTAGTAGCAGTATTGCCAGTCAGCTACAACGTAGGACCAGGCACATACATGCATCATGAAAGTTGCCACACCGCATTAGCACAACAAGATGAACACCAAATTCATAGAAGTACTCACTTCAGTGATGGTAATGTATAAAACAAAGATTGTGTATAAGGATATAATACAGGAAGAAAGAATTAGTTCATAAAAAGAAAGATATAAAGCAATTGTAATCCCACTGTGATCGATTCTGAGGCATGTCACCCAGTCTCTAACTATTGGTTATGATAGTCACGCGGACCTCAACCAAGTGATCTGCATCTACCAACATGGCTCAGACCAGAAGTTAGTGATAACAAGGACTGATGCCACGTTCTTGGTTTGACCGCCCCTAACTTTCTTCCAACTGTCTCCAACACTAGTCAGTGACAATAAAAAGAATTAAACGCATAAAATACGATTTGAAAGGAACGAATGAATAAAAGGTACAACGTAGTTTCGAAACTCATGACCTAAGAGAAAACAAATAATGAATATATGGATCTATGTTATTGAGACAAATTCTAAGCAATTTCACTCAACATCTCCAACCGTTGGTCATGACAATTTAACCAGGTATTCTACACTTAACAGTAAAGTTCAGACAAACAGTCAATGACTTTATGAATTGATGCCAAGTTTTAGTTTGTGTGACGTTGGCTTTCTACCCCTACATCAAACAACATATCGAGCTTATGCAAGTGACAGTTAAACTAGTGACTCTTCATTAAGACTATTTTTATTTCTTTTGAATAAAGCCCATGGCTTTAAAAGTAAAAAAAATAAGCAATCGTAAACCGCTGAGTATATTCAAGTGGTCGGAAAATATATTAGATTATGATATATCTAACATTTAGTTTTTAGTAAACATTAACTTCAATAAAGATCAATACTAGTAAATTCTATGGAACAAAATATGAGCAGTATATATATTATGGTTTTGTAAAATGATTCGATTTGTCAACAAATCGTTGAGAGCTTTGTGTCACTCGCCACTTGATAATAGTACTCGCAATAAGTTAGGGAAACGATTACGAATTCTCATAAAAATACAAACTTTCCTTTATTATATTAGGAGCTCAAGAATACAAAAGACTTGGGAACGAAAAATTACCAAAGCTCTTGTCATGAAACTAACTTTTTAACCATCATGTAACATGGTAAGTAACTACTAGAAATATGACAGGAATTCCTTTCAGAAAAGAAATAGAAAACAGTCAAAAAATTGATAAGGTTCTTCGCAAATAGCCTGTTAAGATCGATTTCTTTAGTTAGCTTTCTTGATGGCAAGAAAATATAATTCAATATCTTTTGTATTATTCCGGAAAGCAGCCGCTACTTCAACATGATGGTGCAGTTCACCAATCATGACGACCGAATCGAGATAGCAATTGGCTGGAACACCTAATTCTTGACGTCTTAACCACGACAGCCAAGTTGGTAAAAAATAGAAAACATTAAGTCCGACGGTAAAGCCTTGATGACGACCGGGTTGTGACGACAGTAACAGACAACATTACATTTAGGTCTATTACCTTTTTCGTAAATTGAAAATTAAATTCTCTGCATCCTAAGGAATAACCGCTGCCACCGGAAAAACATGGAGCTTAAAAGAACAGAAATCACTGACTAAAAATCATGTAAAATGTCGAAAAATATGATCCACTCAGAATAAGCAATGAGTACGATAGTTGGAACACTCTGAGAACTTCAACCGGTCATCAGATTACTCACCAGTTTCCCACTACTCAGCAACAACAAGAATGGAATTTTGATTTCACACCTTATTACACCATAAATAACTGACAGCTAGGGACAGGTTAAAATATTAAGTAAGGCTTGTGAGGTGAATGCAATTTCACTAAGTGAATTACAAAAATTCCTTTGCAACAACTACAGTTTGCCCAATAGTTACCTAAACATTGGCATTCATTCTTATGTAACCCGTAAGTGTATTTCAAGAGCAACAGACTAAAGAAAATCAGACAGGTTTCCAAACGGGTCACGAATATGATAAATAAGCATTCCCTGTTTGACATGTCTAGAAACATAAACATACCTATTAACTACCGAAGCTCGTTAACCTGAAGGTGAGATTAATCCGCAACAACAAAAAGGTATTGTAACTACGTTTGTTATTCAAAGACATATCATAAAAGTTTGTAGACCTACTGAAATCTCTTCATTTTAGTACTGTTTGTCGAGTCAGAGCTGATGGCCTTCGAAATTAGTTACTTGGTAGTATCTTCAAAGTACCCCACGTATATGACTGGACAACAAAGTGAATAATGTTGAGGCTAAGCATTGACTGTTAGATAAATGTGACAAATCGCTTGATAAAGCTGTAAATTTATATCGCCTGAGGCCAGTAGGACATAATAAGTACTACAAATTATATATATACACTCGTGGCAAGCATCAGAACAAATTTGGAGCAGTCTCCAGGTTGCGAGACTACAGTATGAAATAACTAGATCCCACTGAAAGATCAGGAGCTTATACAACGACTAAAATCTGTAACTGGATCGTAAGTTTCAACATTACTTTGAACGGTCTATTTCTAGACTTCGTACGACAATTACATCAATCAGGTTCTAAGTCGGCTGTCTGACCCAATGTTACAATTAGAATTTCAAACTCACTTTTCTAACCATTCAACAACTAATGATTCTCTAAACTATTTGTACAGTACTAACCTTTACGGAACCTTTTACACATGCGTTAAACTGATTAAGTTGTATCAAACAAGAAAATGAAAAATGATAAACTAAACAATGTAACTAACAAGGAGACCACTGGAAGTAATGCGTACAAATTCTATTTTAAATGAAT